TGGCCACTCATGTATATCCTGTTCCTATATAATAAAAGGCTAATATGCAAATTGTCCCCTAGACCCGGAGTTCAACTGGAAGTTCAACCAGGGGGTGGGGCCGGCCAGCCAACCGTCCATGATTCCTCCCCCAGGCCAGCCTGGCCCAATCAGCCCCAGTTGGGGCAGGCCAGCCAGACCCCACCTGTACATGAATTCATGCACCGGGCCTCTAATATATATTTATATAGAGAGAGGGAGGGAGAGAGAGAGAGAGAGAGAGAGAGAGAGAGAGAGAGAGAATTTCTAGGGCTAGGACTTAAAACTAAATTTAATCCAAGTCATAAGGACACTCGGTTTTATAACCAACAAACCTAGATGTCACCAGCCAATCAGCGACCTCACACACTGATGTTCTCATAGCAGATAGAAGCACTTGTTGGTCTTTTGGCTCTAAAACACTTACTGCATTTCCCTTCTCCTGAACCTGACCCCCAGGACCTCAAATCTCAGCTAGATTGGGTACCTTGCTCCAGAGTATAAGTCTCCCACCCTGGGGTCTCTTATTAGTCTTTATATATTCAGCTAAAAATTGAGGGTTCTGTTACTGTGGATGAAGAATATAATGGCTATTGAGGGACTAATCATAGTTTCCATCACAGCTATAAATTGAAGAAGCCAAGGAAATCACAAGGAGAAACTTATAGGTTAGAAGAGACCAAATGTAACTACTAAATGTGATGTGTGAATTTTGATTGGCCATTGGATCATTTAAAAAAAAAAAATCAGCCTGGCCGGTGTGGCACAGTGTTTGAGCATCAATCTATGAACCAGGAGGTCCTGGTTTGATTCCCTGTCGAGATATATGCTTGGGTTGAGGGCCCGATCCCCAGTGTGGGACGTGCAGGAGGCAGCCGATCAATAATTCTCTCTCATCATTGATGTTTCCATCTCTCTCTCTCTCACTTCCTCTCTGAAGTCAATTTTAAAAAATTGTTTTTTAAAGATCAGTTTTAAAAATTCACTTTGGGTCAATTTAGACTGTATATGAAATGGTTTTATAGAATTAGTGTTACTTTTCTTTTTTTTAAAATATATTTTACTGATTTTTTACAGAGAGGAAGGGAGAGAGATAGAGAGTTAGAAACATCGATGAGAGAGAAACATCGATCAGCTGCCTCCTGCACATCTCCTACTGGGGATGTGCCCGCAACCCAGGTACATGCCCTTGACCGGAATCGAACCTGGGACCTTTCAGTCCGCAGGCCGACGCTCTATCCACTGAGCCAAACCGGCTTCGGCAGTGTTACTTTTCTTAGGTGAGACAACATACTGGGCTTAGTAGAAAAATATCCTCATCTTAGGAGACACATGCTGACATGTTTAGGATTGTCATGATGTCAATTTTCAAATGATTCAGAAAAATAAAAATATTAAACGCTGGCCAAACCAGATAAAAGACACATGGATGTTCATTGTGTTATTCTTTCCACTTTTCTGTGAGTTTGAAATTTTTCTCAATAAAATGTCTGGGAAAAGTTTCCATGTACAATGGCCTGTGGGCGAATTCATGTCAATGAGTCAGAGCGAGACATCTCGTCTAGATAGCTGTCCTGTTCTAGAGAATTATAAATAGCTTTTGCAGGCTAATAAAGTGCTGCCGTGGGCACTATCTCCTACAATCCTGATGTGAATGACCCTTGCATGGGAGGTTTTATTGCTTGACTGTGTGGCCCAGGTGCAGAGTCGACAGCTCTGGCCTGTGCTGGACTCCGAGCCTCCTAGGTCTTCCTTGCTCCCAGCAGCCAGTGCAGTTATAGGCACCTGGCAGGTTCTCCTTGAACATTTGTCTACAAATATAACAGAAGAGCCCTGGCCAGTTTGACTCAGTGGATAGAGCATCAGCCTGCAGACTGAAGGGTCCCAGGTTTGATCCAAGTCAAGGGCATGTACCTTGGTTGCAGGTACACCCAGTAGTGGGTGTGCAGGAGACAGCTGATCGATGTTACGCTCCCATCGATGTTTCTAACTCTCTATCCCTTTCCCTTCCTCTCTGTAAAAAAAATCAAATATATATATAACAGGAGAGCCCCACCAACACTCTTCTAGAAGGAAACATGAGCTTGCTATTTGCAGAACCCAGGGGGAAAATTTGGAGGACAATTTAAAACCCGAGAATGGAGAGCTATATATAAGAGGTCAATAAGCTTAGCATAAGCTTGAAGAAATTAATATCAATGAGCATCTTTATGCAAAAGCAGTCCCTATTGTGTAGAGGAATATATAACAACTAATCCACTCGACCTCCTATAATGTGTAGATCAATCACCCTAACTTTTGGGTTGATTCTTTAGATAAATGTTTTTCAATTTCCTTGTTATACTTTTATATTATACTAGAGGCCTGTTGCACGAAGAGATTCGTGCAATAGGCCTTCCCTTCCCTTGGCTGCTGGCACCAGTTTTCCTCTGGCACCCGGGACCCAGGCCTTCGCTCTGGCTGGGCTCCGGCCAGAGCCCCCCACCCCTCAGCCGTCAGGTTTTGTTGCTTTGCTGATCCTGGGGCTGTGAGGCCTCGCTGCTCGGCAGGCTTCGGGTATGTTTGGCTTTGCTCCACTGCTTGGAGCCTAGTATGCAAATTAACTGCCATCTTTGTTGGTGGTTAATTTGCATATCTCCCTGATTAGCCAATGGGAAGCATAGCGAAGGTAAGGTCAATTACCCTTTTTGTCTTTTATTAGATAGGATATACTAGAGGCCCGGTGCATGGATTTGTGCACATTGAAAGGACATTAACTAGAAGGTGGCTCGCGGGAAGGGACTGGGCAAGATGGGCCAGACATGCCCTGAAGCCAATCTCCCTCGGTCCCTCCCTGGCTGGCCACACGTGGGGCAGTGCCGGGGCTCGAAAGCTGTCTGCGGAGTGAGCGGGGTCCCTCTGGAAAGTGGGGTTCCTCGGTCTGGCCTGCGGGGATGGAGCCAAAACTGGTAGTCTGACATCCCCCAAGGAGTCCTGGAGTGCAAGAGGGCACTCTGCAAAATTGCTGTCACTCGGCAGCTCCTGCATTGAGCATCTGCCCCCTGGTGGTCACTGCACATCATAGCTACTGGTTGGACGGCCGCTTAGGCTTTTATATATAGAGACTAAAGGCCCAGTGCACAAAAATTTGTGCACTCGGGAGGGTCCCTCAGCCTGGCCTGTGCCCTCTCGCAGTCTGGCACCCCTCGGAGGATGACCACCTGCTGGCTTAGGCCCACTCCCTAAGGGATTGGGCCTAATCTGGCAGTCAGACATCCCTCTGGCAGCCCAGGAGCCCTCAGGGGATGTCCACTTGCCAGCGGGGAGCAGGCCTAAGCTGCAGTCAGACATCCTTAATGCTGCTGAGGAGGCGGGACAGGCTCCCACCACCACCGCTGTACTGGCAGCCATCAGCCTGGCTTGTGGCTGAGCAGAGCTCCCCCTGTGGGAGCACACTGACCACCAGGGGGCAGCAGCTCCTGCGAGCGTCTGCCCCTGGTGTCAGTGTGTGTCATAGTGACCAGTCATTCCCAGTCGCTCTGCTGTTAGGGTCAATTTGCATATTACCCTTTTATTATATAGGATGCTATGTATGATCCCAGTTTTCTAAAATTATTTCCATTTATAAAGCTACCTACCGCTTAATGTCGACCTGTTTATGTTCAGAATGACATCTAAACTGATGCTCCCGATTATGGACAATGATCATCTCTGACCAATGAGACTGGTGTTCATTTTTCCTTTGTACTTTTTGTATTGCCAGGTATAGTTCCAGGAACATGGGAATTTTCTGTTTGTCTTTCTTTCTTCTTGGAGAATATGGGTTTTTATTCTTAAAAATTAAAAACTAACACATTAAATGTCTTTCACCTGGGCTTCAATGTCAGACCGAGCTGGATTCAAATCCTAGGTTTGAAGGACCTGCAGGGTCCTTAGCCTCTCTTAGCGTTCATGTCAAATGGAGATGTTTACCTTTGATGGTCGTGGTTGGGATGTAAAACGGTATACATCGAATAACTAACACGATCTAGCGATACCAGGTAGTTAACCAACAAATGAGAACCATTTATCACTTCTACTAGTGTGAGCCCAATGTGTTGCTTCTGTTCTGATATTTAAATTTGTCCTATTTTCAACAAAATTCTGGTATTCACCAAGACTCTGGTTTTAAACTATTTGGTGTTGTTCCAGGTAGGTTAGTCTCCCAGTGGGAGCCCCAGCCCAGCCCCTGGTCGCTCATAAATACCACCTGAAATTTCATGGGAATACTTTACTTCATAGCTGCAGACACTGTTTAACTGAGAGGCATTCCTATATCCAGGCCAACCTGCTGTGGATAATACCAATGTTTTATTTTGGTTTTGTGTTGGGTGATAAATGAACTTATTTGCCATTCTGGTCTTCAAAGGTTATGACTTGCTACTCTATACAGTAGTGCTACTGTGATGCTCCACGCACGGATTGGTTTAAACATATTGGTAACCAATGAAAAGCTTCCTTCGATGCCTTCAGTAGCAGCAGGAGGAGGCCTAATCTAGTCCCGGACCCAGCAGAGCTGAATTCATTTGTCCCTCGTGCCAGCCCTACTTCCTCAATTCCAACTTGCAAAGGGCAGAACTTGCCCATCCAGCTCCACCCAGCTCGTTGACCTTATGTGGTCCTTGGATAATCTTTATAGAAAAGAACGAACTGGTGATTAAGTAATCTGGGTTATTTGCCCACATGGTGTTCCTTTCCACACTCCTTTCGCCCTTTCATACTCAGCTGGGCTTTCACAAAGATCAAAAGACACCTACGGGCTTTAAGCCCAAGAAAGGCGTTACCTAGCAAAACTGTCCAACCCAGAATGCATCACAATAGCTTTTGAGTGATGTAAAGGGATCAAGTCCCCTAACTCTGCAGGGGGCCCTAGCTGTGCATCCAACTCCTGGAGGCAGCCCAGAGGGCCCCTCTTTAAAGCAAGAAGGTCTCCAACTACTGCAGCCCGAGCAGGTAACACCGGTATGACCCTCACTGCCCACACCTCTCTCTCCTCCCACTTCGTGGCTGCATTACTCAATAGCTGACTGCATTTTGAATGTTCTAGAGACTGGAGCTCACGATTTACAGACACTTTGTGGCAAACCTTTCCTAAAGACGAGAATTCTTTTACAAAGTGAACATTCATACTCAAGTTTGAATTATTGGAATGGTTCTAGCTCAGCATTTTATTTTTCTCTTAGAAATGGGGTATACCTCCATTAAGGTATCTGACTCTATGATGCTAGACGAACAAAGCTTAAAAACTGTTAACTGAGTCACTAGGTTACTGAGTTGATTGACTGGTAAATTTTTTTTTCATTTATCCATTCATCCCAAAGGATGCATAGAGCACTTCCTTGGGTGTGAAACACTTCTCACCAATGAGGTAGGAGGGCAATGAGAGTGGAGATACTGGCCACCAAAACAATATGGTTCCGGCATCTAGAAGTTTCCGTTGCAGCTGGACAGGCAAGGCACTGTATGAAACTCATGTCTTCTTCTTTGAAGAATCTCTAGAGCAGTGGTTCTCAATCTTTCTAATGCCGTGACCCTTAATACAGTTCCTCATGTTGTGGTGACCCCCAACCATAAAATTATTTTCGTTGCTACTTCATAACTATAATTTTGCTACTGTTATGAATCGTAATGTAAATATCTGGTATGCAGGATGTATTTTCATTGTTACAAATTGAACATAATTAAAGCATAGTGATTAATCACAAAAACAATATGTAATTATATATGTGTTTTCCAATGGTCTTAGGCGACCCCTGTGAAAGGGTCGTTTGACCCCCGAAGGGGTCGTGACCCACAGGTTGAGAACCGCTGCTCTAGAGCCTTGTCCACACCTGGGCAAAGTTGTTACTCACTAAATCGTTTCTTAAATGATAGCGTTTGTAAATGAATTAATAAACCAATGAGGAAAGATCTGAGAACCAAAATGCCTAATAGGATTCATCAAGGGCTCTGAGAATTCAGAGGCAGGCAATGGGCCACTTGGAAATCAGAACAGAGGCCTTGAATAAGGCCCTGAAGAACTGGCAGAATTTAGACTAGACAAGGAAGAAGGGGGAAGCAATTCATAGAAGGGTTGGGGGAGGGTGGAGGGGGAGGAAGAGGTGGGTAACCAACCTTCCTGAACAGGGAAGACTGGCTTCCTGAAAAAACAGAAGCAATAGAAGACTGGCAAAGGAACTCCGTTACTGAAGACCCTTTTCTACACGTCCTCTCACAACACATGTGCTCAAAGGCAGTTGGGAGCAATTGCCAGAGAGCAATCCTCCAGGCAGCCTGGCTGCTGTCTGACCCTAAGGGGACCCAGGTGATGGGTCACAATTCTGAGCAAGCACCCCACCCCCACACCTTCTCTACACTGATTGGAGGAATCAACTTCATATCAGAACTCTAGTTGCAAGGGAGTCTGGGAAATGTAGTGCTCAGCCGGAAAGCTGGTGCAGCGGGAAGGCACCCTAACAAGGCTGGGGAGGGGGCTAAGTGCCCCACTGGCACAGTATTTTTTTTTTTTGCTTTTAAAGAAAAGCGCCCTAGCTGGTTTGGCTCAGTGGATAGAGCATCTGCTGGTGAACCGAAGGGTCCCGGGTTCAATTACAGCCAAGGGCATATGCCTGGTTGTGGGCTTGACCCCCAGTAGGGGGTGTGCAGGAGGCAGCTGATCAATGATTCTCTCTTATCATTGATATTTCTATCTCTTCCTCTCCCTTCCTCTCTCTCTAAATATCAATAAAAAATAGAGATCTTCTGCCTGACTATTTAGGGAAGGAAATAGTCTAGAAAAGGAGCATAAAGACACGGAAGTGTAAACTAATGCATGAAACATGGAACAGACTGATGAATCTCAGAGGAAGAGGGGAGGGGGAGGTCAGGAAGAGATTAACCAAAGATCTTATTGCATACTAGAGGCCCAGTGCATGGGGTTCCTCCGCCTCCAGCATCTCCCAAGTGGTCCCAGATTTCGACAGGCCAGGCCGAGGGACCCCACCAGTGCACGAATCCGTGCACTGGGCCTCTAGTTTTAAAATAAAAAAGAAAAACATATCTGCATGCATTAGTTTACACTTCCGTGTCTTTATGCTCCTTTTCTAGACTATTTCCTTCCCTAAATAGTCAGGCAGAAGATCTCTATTTTTTATTGATATTTAGAGAGAGAGGAAGGGAGAGGAAGAGATAGAAACATCGATGATGAGAGAGAACCATGGATCGGCTGCCTCCTGCACACCTCCTACTGGGGATCGAGCCTCGTGGGGAACCGATATAGGGTTGAGCCTCGGACTGACCTGTTGGCAAAGTCACAAACAAGTCCCTGTTCAGGCGCCAGATGTTGTAAATGTTTCCCTCCATGTCCCATGTGGTTGAGGGTTCAGGATCGGAAGAGGAGCCACACACAAATGAAAGAGAAAAGAGAAGAGATAATTTGGGAATATTGGGGGCCAGGCGGGTAAGTCCAACTCAGGAGGAAGGACTTCCACTGGTGCTCAGGCCGCATCAACCTTTTATAGTCAGAGGTAAACAAGGCAGTGATCACCATAGTTACACAGTTCGTGTGAGTTTCACCTGTTTTGACCATAGTTACACTTCCTGCACTTCCCTCAGCCCATTAGCTTCCCAGATAAGATCTAGGGAGTATTATAAGGTCAAACCTAATTATGCTACGAGGACTGAGCCCTCTAAGCTGGGACTTGTTTGTGACTTTGCCAGCAGGTCAGTCTGAGGCTCAACCCTATATCGGTTCCCCACAGAGCCTGCAACCCATGCATGTGCCCTGACTGGTAATCCAACCCTGACCTCCTGGTTCATAGGTCAATGCTCAACCCCTGAGCCACGCCAGCCAGTGATCTCTACTTTTAAGAAGGACTTTGTAGTACCAGCTGGCTCTCACCTGGAAATGTATATAAACTTGCCATGGGAACATTCTTCAATTTTTTTTTTTCTTTCAGAATCCCACTCATCATGACCGCCATCCGGCTACGACAATTTGTTGACCGCCACCCAGTGATCCCACCCAGGTAACCTCCTTCCAGAGGCAGACAGGCAGGCACCTGGGGAATCAGAACCGATCGACAGATAGCTGCTGCCAGGGGGCTCTAGTGACGTGTCTTTGGGTTTAGTTGTTAAAAACAAAACGAAAACTAAAAATTCCCACACTCGAGGCAGAATCCAAGCAAGCAGGCAACTCCAAATCCCCAAAAGATTGAAGGACATTGGTTTTTGCTTGGAAAAGGCTTTAGCAAGAAGACTGAGGGATCCCTTTACTCCGCTTGGAATCCACCAACCCCTCCTGTGCTTGTGCTACAGGGGAGGTGACCGCACAGACGGAAACCAGGGCCGAGTATCACTCTTTCTCCAAGTTCATCCGTGGCCTAGGAATAACGAGTCCTAGACGTGTCTCATTGGGCTAAGCTCATCTTGCTGAGAGAGACTGTACAACAATCTGTGAATTCTAACCCCACCCGCCCTTCCCCACTCGCCATGGGATCATAAAATTGGGGTGAGAACCTCACACAGCAAGTGACTTTGGGGTCAGCCTCCTGCAGCCCCAGTGACTTGGTGGTTTTGAGCAAACCTCGTGTTCATTCTAGTATTTAGTTAATTTTAACAATATTTAGTCAACAAAGGTAAGTTCTTTTGCTTCCAGAAATTATCCAAGAAAGAAGGGGGGGTGAGGGATCTTGGTTCCCAGGTATTTTGAGAGTCCTTTCAGAGAAAACGCAGAGCCTACCTCTCGCACCCTGAAACCCCGAGAGGAGGAAGCAGGGTGGTTCCAGGGGCTCCTGGTTTCTGTCTCCCCACAAGTGTTGGCTTTCTGTGTGTTTGACATCTGTTCTGTCCACGGTTGGGCGTATTGAACTGTGGTCTCATCTCCTGGGGAAAATGGAAACAAACTTCCCTTTGTGGCTGCTGCCTGGGGCTCAGCGGAACTAACTCAGTCACTGGGCCTGACCTGAGCCAGCCGTGGGCAGCCTGAGGGTTTGGGTGGAACACAGTGTGACAGGCACTGAAGTCGCAAGGCTGGCTGGATTCCGTTCTCTGTGTTCATCCATCAGAGCCCCACTAGGAGGCACCTGTCTGAGCTACCCTGGGTGCCCGCCCACCACCCACCTTCAGGACTCACTGTGGAGCAGGGCTGTGTCTATGTTCTGCCTTGGCAACAATCGTGGGTCCAATCCACCAGCAATCTCAGTCCTGCCTCCAGAATCCATCTCCCGTGGGAATGACTCACCATCTCCATTGCCAACACTGTGTCCAGACCACCATGGCCTCTCCCTTGCTCATCTACACCAACCACCACTCTTGTTGTCCTACAACCCATTCTCTGGAGCGAGCTGCATGAAATATAAATTGGATCAAAGCCACCCCCCTTTGCATAAAGCCCTGTGATGATTGCATTTTGCATAAAATCCAAACTCATTGCCAGGGCCTACAAAGCCTACATGAACTGGCATTGCCCATCTTCAAAGCCCCATTGTCTTCTTCCATTCCTTCAATAGGCCACACTCCTTCATTCCTCGGGGCTTTGGGGCATGTTCCTTCTCCCTGGATCGCTCCCTCCCCCGCCCTGGCCTGCCCTGTCTTAACTAGTCTCCTGTCACCACCTGCTTAGCTCCTTGTCAGCTGCTCAGAGAGCGATTCCTGAACCACCCTGGCTAGAGAAGGTCTTCTGTCCACCTCTCCAGCTCTGTTGTTTATTATTATTATTATTATTGACTAGAAGCCTGTTGCACGAAGATTCGTGCAATAGGCCTTCCTTCCCCTGGCTGCCGGCACCAGTTTTCCTCCGGCACCTGGGACTCAGGCCTTTGCTCCGGCCACAGCAGAGAAGCCAAGCCTCTTCAGTCTTGTCTTCAGTCCAGCCGGAGCCTTCAGTCTCAGCTCCATGCCTGCATATGCAAATTAACCGCCATCTTTGTTGGGTTAATTTGCATAGTCACTCCGATTGGCTGGTGGGCGTAGCGGAGTGACCCAATTTGCATGTTTCTCTTTTATTAGTGTAGATTTCAGAAAGGAAGGGAGAGGGAGAGAGAGCTAGAAGCATCTGTGATGAGAGAGAATCATTGATGGGCTGCCTCCTGCATGCCTCCTACTGGATATGGAGCCCGCAACCCAGGCATGTGCCCTGACCAAATTAAACCGTGACCTCCTGGTTCATAGGTCAATGCTCAACCACTAAGCCACACCGGCCGGGCTCTACTTCTGTTATACTCCATCTCACGCCTTTTTTGGAAACATGGCCTCGGGGCCCTTATCACAACTTATTTTATTTCTTCTTGATCTCACCCACTGGGATAACAGTTAACACTCATGCAACTCTTATCCTGTGGCAACCACTGTACTTAACCTTCACAACAACTTTGAAGTACAGATGAGGAGGTACAACCAAGGCACAGAGTGGTTAAGTGACGTCCCAAGATCCCACAGCTAGTAAGTGATTGGCAGAGGTGGGATTTGAACCCACTGGCCTGCCTCCAACATCTGTGCTCTTGATCCCCGCACTCTATTGCATCTGGTTAGCTCCCTAGGGTGGCTTGTTTGCCTCTCCCTACAACCCACCATCATCACTTCTGCCCAGCTGATTGTCACACATGGTAGGTCCTATGCCCATTTGCTGAAAAAAAATGAAAATGAATGAATCCATTCTTCATTGAGAAAAATAATGATTTTGTCATTTATTTGTGGTTTGGTTTCCTGGGTTCGATTCCAGGCAAGGGCACGTACTTTGGTTGCAAGTTTGATCCCCGGCCCTGGTCGGGGAGTGTGCAGGAGGCAACCAATCAATGTGTCGCTTTCATATCAATGTTTCTCTCTCTGTCGTTCCCCCTCTCTTCCACTCTCCCTAAAAATCAATGGGAAAATATCAGGTGAGGATTAACAACAAAAACAAAGACAGTAAAAGTAAAAGAATGTAAAATATCTTATTTTTAAAAGCCGCTAAACTCTTCTGAAAAAAGTAATCATATGTGCTTATTATAGATGATTCTGGATGAAAGATGGAGTTTGGAGAACTGGGTTTGGTCCTGGCTCTGGCAGTTGCTAGCCAGGGAATATTTAGAGAGTCCACTCTCTGAACCTCAGTCTCCTCTTCCACAAGCAGCTGTAAATATTTACCTGGCAAGGTGACCGTGAGAATTGGATGAGATCATCTCTGCACAGACACTTGGGCAGCAGGAGGCAGACATAACAGAGAATTGCAGTCACAGCCGCAGCCCCCTCAGGCCTCGGGGCCAGGCTCCTGAGGGACTGACACTCCCGACCTCCCTGGGGCATATCGAATGGTGTCTGCGGTTACAGTCACCCTCCCAGGGGACAGGTCTGCTCTTGTCTGAACTGAACGCGTCGCCTCAGAGAGCCGAGCTGTCCTGGACTGTAAATAATGCATCAGACACAGGGGACTCCTGCCCCCTCCCCGGAGAGCAAAGGCCTGTGTGCAGCTAATGCAGAAACCGAGGGGGTGGGAGCCGAGTTGGGTGGGGCTCCTTGGCCAGGCCCAAGGGCTGGCACGTGCTTTCCAGCCACCCATCGGTTTGCCCCACACCCAGCCACCCTGGGAGAGGCCCGGTGCTGACTGACAGCCAGGTGAGGCATCTCCCTGTAGGACAGCGGTTCTCAACCTGTGGATCGCGACCCCTTTGGGGTTCGAACGACCCTTTCACAGGGGTCACCTAAGACCATCAGAAAACACATGTATAATTACATATTGTTTTTGTGATGAATCACTATGCTTTCATTATGTTCAATTTGTAACAATGAAAATACGTCCTGCCTATCAGATATTTACATTAGGATTCATAACAGTAGCAAAATTTACAGTTATGAAGTAGCAACGAAAATAATTTTATGGTTGGGCGTCACCACAACATGAGGAACTGTATTAAAGGGTCGCGGCATTAGGAAGGTTGAGAACCACTGCTGTAGGAGGCAGCAATTCTCTTCCAAAAACTGATGTTTTAGCCTCTTTGTTGGGAGCTTTCTCCTGTTTGAAGGCCACATAGAAGGGGTTGGAAAGTCTAACCAAGGAGTTAGAGGCAAAGTGTCCCATCTTCAGCCCCCACCCTCCAACACCTTCCTCCTTACACACGTCCCCACGGCCCGTTCCTGGGCCAAAACCCGCCCAGGGACCTTCCCAAAGGCTGGATGGCAGAGCGTTAGCTGGTGCTGGTGAAGGGCTCCTCCCCCAAACAGCTTGGCCTTGGGCTGCCACCTGCGCTCGGCAGGTACTGGCCGTGTGCACCCGAGGGAAGAAGGGTCCATGGTCAGGGCACAGCCCAGCCAACAGCACAGCAGCCACGAGAAGCCAGTGTCGCTCTGGAGCTCCATTGGCGTCTAATACACTGGCACATGGCCCTGGGGAACCATTCAGACCTGGATGGCGCCTACGGAAGCCAGGGCTCCCATCGGGGCACCTAGAGATGTCATTTGTTCCCAGGATTGTGCCAATTCCTCTCTCTCCTTATGACTCAGTCCCCGCTGTTAGTTCCTATCCAGGCCTCAGTCATATTATCCACGGCTGGGCAGGCCCAGACAGCCTGTGGTTTCTCTGAAAATCAGAGCTCCCTGAGGTCCTGTTTGCACAGACAGACCCGCCCTACCCACAGAGCTTGCCTTTCATACCAGGTAGGAAGCGGGGACCCCACCGGTCCCCACATGCCCCGCTCTGATCCCAACTCTGTCCAAGTCTTGACTTCTGAAATTGCCTCACCTGGAATCTCTTCCCCATCCTATTTGCCTCCCCAAACCCTAGACACCTGCCCAAACCCTAGACCAGCAGTTCTCAACCTGTGGGTTGCGACCCCTTTGGGGGTCGAACAACCCTTTCACAGGGGTCACCTAAGACCATCGGAAAACACATCTATAATTACATATTGTTTTTGTGATTAATCACTATGCTTTAATTATGTTCAATTTGTAACAATGAAAATACATCCTGCATATCAGATATTTACATGACGATTCATAACAGTAGCAAAATTACAGTTATGAAGTAACAACCAAAATAATGTTATGGTTGGGGGTCCCCACAACATGAGGAACTGTATTAAGGGTCGCAGCATTAGGAAGGTTGAGAACCACTGCCCTAGACCCATTGGCCTTCATTCAGACCACTATTTCGGCACCTAAAGAGCATTCTGAGGACAAGAACTGCTGCTGAGTCAGCTTGAGCCTAGCAGGGTGTGCAGAGTAGCTTACATACATTCCATAAGTGATGTTTGGACTGGAGGTACATAGCTTAAGTTTCCATTCGTTGCCAACACATACTGGCGAGCTACTTCATGGTTTTGCTACTGACTCTTCCCTGGAATTCTTATAGTTCCTACTGAGTACTCAGAATCTGCGGAAGGCCCTAAAAGACTGCACATATCACAAACCCTATAGTCATCCAACAATGGCCATCGTCCTGTGTCCCCTCTCCCAGGGAATGGCAGCATCTTCCCAATGCTAAAGCCTAAGACTGGCCTTAAACAGCTACCATCTTTTACCTCAATCCTCTCTCCTACGGCATCCCCACTCCATCCTCTCCTCTCCATCCACCTTTCCAACACATTGCTCAGAGCTTCACCACACCCCACAAAACCACTAAAATCTCCTCCTACCAGCCTTTCTACTCCTAGTCAGATTGTCCTCAGATTTGTTTTCCACCAACTTTCTAAAATAAAAAGTGTATTATAGCCTGGTTGGCGTGGCTCAGTGGTTGAGCATCGACCTATGAACCAACAGGTCACAGTTCAATTCCGGTCAGGGCACATGCTCAGGGTTGAGGGCTTGATCTCCAGTGTGGGGCGTGCAGGAGGCAGCCAATCCATGATCCTTTCTCATCATTGATGTTTCTCTCTCTCTCGCTCCCTCTCCCTTCCTATCTGTATATATCTATACACTTTTTTAAGTAGAGAAAATAATGTAAGAAACCCCCATTTTCTAATTCCCACTTTTCAACTATGATCAACATTTGCCCCACTGGTTTTAAATATCATTGTATTTTTTTTCCTGATATTTTGAAACTGACACATCAAATGATTCCTGAAAACTGGATAAAAAAGACACTCCCATCAAGAAAGTCCAAGGGGGTACAGCATTGGGAAGGTAGTCAATAATATTGCAATAATTATGTGTGGTGCCAGGCAGGTACTAGACTTGTCAGGGGGATCACTATGCTCTGCACCTGGAACCAACATAATATTTGATGTCAACTGTAATTAAAATAAATATAGTCTTGAAATAGAAAGTAATTAATTAACTAATTAATTAAAAGTTGGGCCGAAACCGGTTTGGCTCAGTGGATAGAGCGTCGGCCTGCGGACTGAAAGGTCCCAGGTTCGATTCCGGTCAAGGGCATGTACCTGGGTTGCGGGCACATCCCCAGTAGAAGATGTGCAGGAGGCAGCTGATCGATGTTTCTCTCTCATCGATGTTTTTAACTCTCTATCTCTCTCCCTTCCTCTCTGTAAAAAATCAATAAAATATATTTTTTTAAAAAAGTTGGGGGTGGGGCGAGTTCAAGGAGTTCTGTGCCAGGAAATGGGGGCAAAGACCGAATATCTTCTTTAATTACATCACAGCTGGCACTCCTCTCTAAAGAACTGATCGTAGTAATTGCCTCTTTCTCGCCCCTCACTTTCTCCACCAGCCCATTCATTGCTCATCAAGGCAAGGACCTCCTCGGCTACCTCCCTGGGCAGCTGGCACGAATCCATGTTGATTCCAGTGTAAAGAGCTCTCCCAGGTGAGACACCTAACAATTACACTCAAGTTAGAATGATACATTTTTTAAAAAATGGGAATCACACTTTGTAATAACAAAAATGAGTATGAGAACAATAATAATTATTATTTGATGGATAGAAAACGGTTAGAAGGAAATACACCAAACTGTTAACAACAGTTATTTGTGAGTGGTGAGATGAATGGTGTTTGTGTTTTATATTTTCCAGATTTTTTCTAATGAGCATATATTTTTATAGTCAGCAATAAATATGGAACTTTATGAAATTATCTAAGAAATGAAATCACCATGAGTTTAGTTTCAACTTAGTCAAATAATTTAACTTTCCTGAGTCTGTTCCCTTCCCAGTAAAATGACAAATTTGACCTAAATGGTTTCTGCCTCTGTGCATATCATTTTAACAACAACAAAAAAGATAGTTTGATGTTGCGTTCTAGTGTGTAGAGGTTGGAAACCACGGGAGTTAAAAGCAGCAATTTGAGTAACTTTATGAAATGTTTGATCTTGGACAATTTTCATTGCATCTCCGACTCTCAGTTTTCTTATCTGTTAAACAAAATAATTGATATAAAATTCCAGAGCATAGTAGGCACTGAAAATATGATTGCTATTACTCTGAGTTCATCTGGCATATTTTACAAATTTCTCTTATTCTCTTGATCGCCTTTGATATAGTCATGCCTTGTTTGAAGGGCAGTTGGTGAGCATAAAAGCTGAGACTGGAATCTATCCACATTTTCTGATTCCCAGTTCAAAGCCCTTTGCTCCAACTCAAATACATACTTGACTTTGAAAAGCCAAGGGGGAAACCTAGTGCAAATGTCAATCAATGATTTTATTAAGTTTCTAGATAAGAATAAGAAGGAAATGCCCTAACCGGTTTGGCTCAGTGGATAGAGCGTCGGCCTGCGGACTGAAAGGTCCCAGGTTCGATTCCGGTCAAGGGCATGTACCTTGGTTGCGGGCACATCCCCAGTAGGGAGTGTGCAGGAGGCAGCTGATCGATGTTTCTCTCTCATCGATGTTTCTAACTCTCTATCCCTCTCCCTTCCTCTCTGTAAAAAATCAATAAAATATATTTTTTTAAAAAAAGAATAAGAAGGAAAAGAAAAGCAGGTTGCCTTCTGTGACCCGTGACTGGGAGAGAAGGGCTGCAAAGGGAGGGACAGGGGACTGGAACCCCTGAGCCATCTACTGACAGCTTGGCTAGGGCTGGCCTTGATTGACTGAGTCTGGCCAACACTGTCTTGGTGGCCTCCTGGCTACTTCCAGGGAAGGAATTTCAGCTGATGAGAAAATGGAACACTTTTCTTCGACTGGGTGTTCAGCAAGCTGTTTCTATTTTCATTTAGATCTCTCATAGACTTGGCCATGCCACCCGAGGAGAAACGTCAGTGTCAGCCTCAGCTAGACCAACAAACTCTCATCCGATATATTTGTTTTCAAAGACACTCCAAGCCTGCCGAAGCATGGTACAAAGAAACCACGTACCAAAAACACTATTCGCTGCCATTTTACGTGCTTGGTAAGTCAAGCCAACTGCTCTTCCTCTCTGAGACCAGCCCCACCTGGGCCGCAGAGAAGCAACTCCCACAGGCTTGCCTCTGCACGTCTGGGACCAGCCAAGCTGGGGGGAGGGAGGAGGGGGGGCGTGTGTCCCGGTGCAGGAAGAATCTTGAGGTCGGCCCAAGGGCGTCTTCCTCCTTTCCTAGCTCTCTGTAGAGACTTCAGGAATGAAGATATACAAATGTCCTTGAGAGGAAGCAGCTCAAGTCTGATCACTCCTCACATATTGTTGAGGAACTCTACTCATTCTCAATATATATACATATTTTTATTGATTTCAGAGAGGCAAGGAGAAGGAAAGAGAGATAGAAACATCAAAGATGAGAAGAATCATTGATCAGCTGACTCCTGCAGGCCCCCAGGCATGTGCCCTGATTGGGAATTGAACCAGTGACCTCTTGGTTCATGAGTCGATGTTCAACCACTGAGCCACACCAGCTCAGCTTCATTTTATTTTTCAATGATGACTTTCAAAGAAGGCACCACCACAAATCCATATGAACTGTAATTTCACTTTGTCAAATGGTGTGAAAATTTAAAAAAAATCATTTCCCATGTTCCTTCCATCCCCAAATCTGTATCAGATGTTTCAGGTTTGATAGCATTCACTGTGGGCATATATATTCACTAACTGGAATGTCACAAGGAAGCCCCCAGAAGTTTGTCAAGTGTTCTGAGAACATTTACTGTTGAATTTGCCTGGCTAACTGTGTATAATTCAGCTCCATTGTAACTTCTACAATGAGGATCTCTAAGGCTCTTGGGTAGGATTCCTCCCACTTCTAAACTACTTTGATATATGTCCCTGGAATACTTGGTAATCTTCAAGGTCAGAGTTGCTGTTCAACTCCATAGCAAGCCTTAAGAAGTTAAATGGTAACTAATTACATACAGGATCACATTTAATTAAATTAGATTTTAAAATCCTCCAGGGATGGCATTTCTAGTCGTACTCTCTAAGCAAATGAAATGTTATTTGTTCTTAATATCAAGAAATGTTTGTTTAAATGCTGTTGAAGTGCTATGGGAGGTGGAATAGAACTGTGAAAAGATTAGGGACTTAGCCGCCTGATAATCCTGGGTCAAATGGGGGCTCCTTCTCTTCCAAGTCCTGTAAATTTGGGCAAATTAATCTATTTGAGATGGTGGGAATATCAGTGGGCCTTTGAGGGTTACTGTGAATATGAGTTAATATAAGCAAAACACCTAATACAGAGCATAGCACTGTACATATGAAGTCTTGTTAAAACGCTGTTGTTAAAACATTTTTTTCTTAATATTTTTTTTTTTTAATTGATTTTTAGAAAGAGGGGAAGGCAGAGGGAGAGGGAGAGATAGCAACATTGATGAGAGACAAATATCAATAGGCTGCCTCCTGCACACCCCCTACTGGGGATTGAGCCTGCAACCCGGGTATGTGCCCTGACCGGGAATCGAACCAGTAACCTCTTGGTTCATAGGTCGACACTCAGCCACTGAGCCACACCAACCAGGTGAAACACCCTGGTCTTTGATTCATTAAGCGTAGATGCAATGACTGGGGTCTTCCACCCAAGCCCTTCTTTACATAAGCAGAACTCTTAGTGGTTATAGACTGTAAAATAGGAAGGGATGTGCTGTAAGTGGTTATAGGCTGTAAGATAGGAGGGGATGCCAATAGGTATGAATTTAGGGATGGTAACAACTGCAGTTTGATACAAAGAGGATACAAATGGTCCATTTATAATGTAAAGTTTCAAGGGTTTGGAAGAAATCTAGAATTAGGATGTCAAAATGCAAATTTGCCAAAACCGGTTTGGCTCAGTGGATAGAGCATTGGCCTGCAGACTGAAGGGTCCCAGGTTCGATTCCAGTCAAGGGCATGTACCTGGGTTGCGGGCACATCCCCAGTAGGAGATGTGCAGGAGGCAGCTGGTCGATGTTTCTCTCTCATCGATGTTTCTAACTCTCTATCTCTCTCCCTTCCTCTCTGTGAAAAATCAATAAAATATATATTTTTTTAAAAATGCAAATTTTCCATTTATTTTCATTACATTTTTGCATAATTCAGTATTATGAGATTAAGCCACATAAATAATCCTTTGGCCCTAGCTGGTTTGGTTCAGTGGATAGAGGGTCAGCCTGTAGACTAACAGGTCCCAGGTTTGATTCTGGTCAAGGGCACATGCCTGGGTTGTGGGCTCAATCCCCAATAGGGGGCATGCAGGAGGCAGCTGATCAGTGATTCACTCTCATCAATGATGTTTCTATCTTTCTCCCCCTCTCCCTTCCTCTCTGAAATCAATAAAAGTATATTAAAAAATAAATAAAAATAACCCTTTGACTAAGTCCTTTTTTACAGAGCTTTGAAACATATTCCTTTGTCTTAAATCCCATAAATTTTGTTATTTTATACAATTGCTGTTGAAATGAAAGTGAGTTAAAATTTAGGAGTGAGTAGTCCTAAAGTAAATCATTAACTTGTTTTATATTCCAGATTGGGACCAGAAATTAGGCACAATTTCCTCGAATCCTCGACCAATCAATTCACTACCGGAGTTCTGCTGTTGTGAAGAGAGGTGGCGCTGAAATAAAAGCTTTAAACCAAAATAGCTATGGTGCTTGAAAACATTTGGCGTTCTTAGGTGACTCTTTTAGACTAAAACCATGATAACAGACCTACTTTTTTTTAAAATATATTTTTATTGATTTCAGAGAGGAAGGGAGAGGGGGAGAGAGAGAAAAAACCACCAATGATGAGAGACAATCATTGATTGACTGCCTCCTGCACCCTGACCGGGAATTGAACTGTGACCTCCTGGTTTATAGGTTGAAGCTCAACCACTGAGCCACGCTGGCCGGGCAGAACTACTTTTAATTTACATGTGTATCCAATGGTTGGAATCTTAAAATATTTACATGTTGCAAATTCTTTCCAGATTAAGTTGGTCATCCCAGGGCAGGGAATCAACACCCAGCCCCACTACCAGTCTTGCGGCTGCTGCTGGTAAACTGTCTTACATTTAGTCCAGTGGTTCTATGTGGGGCCAGGAAAGAATACAATCGCATCCACTCAGTAACTGCATCACTGAGAGAGAGAAAAAAGAACTGGGAGGTGGCCAAGGAGGGAGACCCTGAAGGTGCTCAGGATGTAGTGATTCAGGTATGGCACAAGACTGTAGTGAGATGTGAGCCTGGGAGGAGGGGCGAAGGAGGAGGGAGAACTTACTGAAAGTCTGTGTACAGAGTTACCACTCCTGTCCTAGCCGGTTTGGCCCAGTGGATAGAGTGTCAGCCTGAGGACTGAGGACCCTGGGTTCCATTCCCGCCAAGGGCACACGCCCCAGTTGCAGGCTCAATCCCCAGTAGGGGGCGTGCAGGAGGAAGCCAATGATTCTCATCATTGATGTTTCTATCTTTCTCTCCCTCTCCCTTCCTCTCTGAAATCAATAAATATATCTATAATAATAAAAGCATAATATGCTAATTAGCCGAAACCGGTTTGGCTCAGTGGATAGAGCGTCTGCCTGCGGACTGAAGGGTCCCGGGTTCGATTCCGGTCAGGGGCATGTACCTGGGTTGCGGGCACATCCCCAGTGGGGGGTGTGCAGGAGGCAGCTGATCGATGTTTCTCTCTCATCGATGTTTCTAGCTCTCTATCTCTCTCCCTTCCTCTCTGTAAAAAATCAATAAAATATATTTAAAAAAAAATATGCTAATTAGACCGGACGTCCTTACAGACGACCTTCCGGACGAAGCCAGGGAAGCCCGGGTCCTGGGTGCCTGCTGGTGGCAAGAGGGAAGCCCGGGTCCCAGGTGCCAGAGAGAAGCGGGTGCCAGCAGCAGGGGAAGAAAGGCCTGCGCCTGCACGAATTTTGTGCATCGAACCTCTAGCATTTAAAATAAGAGTTACACTCCTATCCTTGAAAGAAAGCTGACAACTAGGCATCAAGTCCCCAGGCCAAAAGCTAGAGGTTCTTCTCTAAGCAATTAAATAATCCCAAAGAAAAGAGTCCTACCTTCTGGCCCCTGGGACCCCCATCATACTAGTTCAGTGATGGCGAACCTATGACACGCGTGTCAGAGGTGACCCGCGAACTCATTTTTTTGGTTGATTTTTCTTTGTTAAATGGCATTTAAATATATAAAATAAATATCAAAAATACAAGTCTTTGTTTTACTATGGTTGCAAATATCAAAAAATTTCTATATGTGACATGGCACCAGAGTTAAGTTAGGATTTTTCAAAATGCTGGCATGCTGAGCTCAAAAGGTTCGCCATCACTGTACTAGTTGGTTCCCAACTCAATACCCCAAAGTGAAGCCTGCCAGTCAAAAAGCTTCCCCAAGAGCAAAGTTTCATATAGCTTTGCACTGCTTCAGTCTTAGTTGTAAAGAGCCAACCAAGGGTCACTGGAGTTGAAAAAAAAAAAATGAGTTACACTTTTTGGGTAAAAGAACGGGTTATTTCTATCGCCTTCTGGACCATTGCTGAAAATGTTTCAGTACGGCAATGCTTACAGCCAGATAAGAATGTGGACTTTAACATGCTTGCTTCTGTCCGGCCGGTGTAGCTCAGTGGCTGGGTGTTGTACTGTGAACCAGGTGGTCACAGTTCGACTCCTAGTCAGGGCACATGCCCGGGGTTTCGGGCTCCATCCCATGCAGGAGGCAACCGATCAATGATTCTCTCTCATATTTGTTATTTCTATCTCTCCTTTTCCTGTCATCTCTGAAATCAACAAAAATATATTTAAACAAACAAAAAACATGCTTACTTCTAATGGAGCTTACATCTCTGGGCAGCTAATCTAATTTAAAGTCCTTGTAGGGCCCTAACTGGTTTGGCTCAGTGGATGGAGCGTCGGCCTGTGGACTGAAGGGTCCCAGGTTCGATTCCAGTCAAGGGCATGTACCTTGGTTGCAGGCACATAACCAGTAGTGGGTGAGCAGGAGGCAGCTGATCGATTTTTCTCTCTCATCGATGTTTCTAACTCTCTATCCCTCTCCCTTCCTCTCTGTAAAAAAATCAATAAAATATATTTTAAAGTCCATGTAGGAAGATGAAAAAGCAAGAAGAAATAAAAACCAATTAAATTTCCATTAGAATAAGTAAACATTATTTATTATGGGCCAAGTATAAATTATTATTCTATATAAAGATCATTACTAATCAGCAGTGAGCTTTGTAAGATCATCTCTACTGTCCTTTTTATTTACTGAATCCAACAAGGCTGCTCTTATTTTAACATTTTTCTTGAACTAAGTATTAATAAAAAATATATCTAGTGAAGATAAAATGTAGTTAGATGTTTTCAAAGATTCTGTTCTTGCTCTCTCCCCACCTTATCTCCCCACACCACAGGGATAAAGCTCCTTATATATACTAGTATTACCACTACTTCTCTTGGCGGAACAAAAACACAATACAAGATACTAGAAATATCTGGTTCTTTTTAATCAGCTATTGATGGAATAATAAAATAAATTTAAGTGGCACCTAATTTAACATTCAAGATAGTTCACTGAAAGATCATCTACAACACAATATGTTAAGCCTAATTGTTAAAATAACACCTCTTTTTTATTTTTTTCCTAAGAAAAGAGAAATAAAGGCATAACCAACAATTTGGGTTCATTTGGACACTTACAGATTATTTTGTAGGCATACTGGCAGGCACAATGTTGAAAAAACAATGCACTAGATTTAAAAATAATGGTAAGATAAAACAGGAGACCAATTCATTTCAGATTTAATATCTGATATTAAAGAAAATATTCACTAAATATCACAATAGATCTTTTAATGACTATTTTTTAACATTAAGAATATTGTATTAGCGAACACCTTATCTCTTTGAACATTCGCTCAATGTATTAAATAATTTATATTGAGAAATAAGTTTTGTGTTCTGTACAAATTAAAGGACCCATGAATAAATCGCCCTCCCCCCGCCAAAGCTCGAATTTGCAATGGTCTCAGCAGAAAATAAACAGTTCACAATTTAAACAGAATTCATAGCATAAAAGTTTACAGAACAACTCCTCTCTCATTTTTTCTAACAGCAAAGATTACAATGACAGAACTGAAAGATCAGAATGTAAAAATATTTGTGCAAAATTGCATTAATTGTTCTTACCATTTAATAGAGGTAAAACCTATAAACACACAAGGACGATAATAAAGAAAAACTACATTGAAAATCATTCTATTTTGGGTTTCAAACAACATGGATTATACTATTACTAAACATTAAAGAAAATGTGGCACCATGAGCAGCAGGAGCAACAGATGATTTCGGCAGTTGTGCCAGCCAAGGACGTTGACACTGGAATATGCCGAAGCTTACCTCCACACCAGCCATCCATCTTCAAGACTGGAAACAACTATAGGGCTTACACCTCACGTCAATGTCTTTATTCTTGAAAGTTGTAGATCATAATGACATAGTTAAGAAAGTCCTTTCCCCCTTCTCAAGGAGTGCTTCTTGTGTCACTGGAAATCCTTAGAAGAGTTGAATCATAGACTCTCTGGACTTCCCTACACCAATCCATTTAACTGAGAGAGGAAAATAAAGTATAAGAATTGTATTAATTCATTTATAATGTTGAGTCTGGGATGAAGAGACCCCCTCTCCCCCCACTTTTCTCACTGTCACCATTTAACTTTGCCCTAGGTGCCTTTCGTTACCTTTTGTTCCATTCTGGAGCAGATTGTGCCAATTTCTAGACCATTAGAATGTGCAGGTGAGATCCAGCACAGAGTAGTTTACTTTAACGTTCCTGTTTTAATGCACAATATTTACAATTCCTCAATTCCTAATCATTAGGATAAAATATATTGGCCCAAACCAGCAGAGACCTAAAGAACCTTTGATTAAGTTCCTAATAACTAGAAAAGATAAGCCCCTTTGATGAATGGATGATGCTAAGATGATAATGAAGTGTCACAGTACCTTTTATATCTCATAAAAGTAGAACTTTCCAGAAGAGAACACTGTGTTAACTAGCACAGCCTTAGGAATTGCCTACTGTATCAGCCTACGGGCATCTCTAATCATCTGCAGCTCCTGGGCAAATCTTATGAATTTTACAGAATCATTGTTAAATTCGTTGTTTATATTTCAAACAATGTTGACTCAGGGTGAGTTGACTGAATTTGACAAACTAGCAGGGAGGGGCAGGTAGCAATATGGAAAACATAATTCATGTCTGAGATGAAAAATCAGAATAGATTATATGGAAGATACCTCCCACCCACTTCACTGTCTCTCAGATAGATCCCCATCAGTGCAAATAAAAGGGGAAAAGCAATGTGTTAAAACGAAGACTTCACATAACTAGTCACAGCCATAACCTGGTTATCCTAATTCCCTGGCCAGCCGACATTTCTTTATTCTTTATTCTTCTCTTACATTTGTTCCAACTAGAGTTCCTATTTTCTGTACCTATTATTTTCTAATGTCTAGTCAGGAAACTCCTCCAATTCTCAATGGTGGTTTAACCCCAAATGAAAAACCACACACTATTTTTGGTGGAAATGGAGACACAAAAGGAGGTTATTTAAGAGGGAGGACACAAGAATCAATGTCATAGGGTGAAAAGCAGAACCACACATTATTTTTGGTGGAAATGCAGACACAAAAGGAGGTTATTTAAGAGGGAGAAGGACACAAGAA